AAAGAGTTTATACTCTTACGTAAAACCAAAACCAAACCAAACTCACTGTCATCAAGTCAATTCCAACTCATAGCAACTCTCATTGGTTTTCCAAGGCAGTAAATCTTTACGGAAGGAGATTGCCCAGTCTTGCTTCCACGGAGTGGCTGGTGGATTTGAACCACCAACTTTTTGGTTAGCAGTCAGGTGCCTTAGGCTCTGTGCTACCAGAGCTCCTTACTCTTAGGTAAGAACAATTAAAAAGAACCCAAGTAATCTCCCTAAATTAAGTAAGGGCAACTCTGATAAAGAGGGAAAAAAGCAATTCGTTTCCATTTCTGTTAGTATGTTAAACAAGTTAGTTTCCTAACATTCTGCACTGTATATAAGCTACTCTTAGAAATCCTTGGAGACAGTGGTTATATGACAGATCTAAGCATTAAGTCTGGTTCTCTTAAAATGGTTCTCTGGCTCTGACTTCCTCTTTCTTCAGTATTCCTACCACTGCTTTTTCTCCCCTCAATTGTGGTAACAATATATATAACAAAACATTTGCCAATTCAGTATTTTTTACATTCAGTGACATTGATTACGTTCATCATGTTGCTCAGCCATCTCCACTGTCCTCCACATCATTCAGCCACCATCAACAAAAACTCAGTGCTTTTGTTTTATTTTCCATTTTAATGAAAAAAAGAAAAATGTTCTGCTTCCCCCTCGATTCTGATTAATATTATTCGACTTATAAGTGTTAGAATATACTTTGCTTTTAGTTGCTTACAGGGACAAAGACTGACAGAGTTAACTATTGTGTAGACTGAAATCCCTAATTAGAAAAGAACAGGGTTTTCTTGGGTATATATTTTTTCTAAACTATAGCTCAGTAAACTATTGGCCCATTTTTATTGCAAACCTGACACTTGAGAAAAATATGTATTTTTTTTCTAATGCCACTGTTTTTATTTTTGGTGATTCTATAGTCTGGAACATGTGGCCTAACAAGGATATAAATCTGGGAAGAAAAATTATGGTTGGCATCAATTTTAAAAGTCTTTGCAAATCTAACAGAGCACAAATCCCAAATTGTTTAAATTCTAAATATTTACTTAAAGAAAAACAAGAGCTCATTCAAAAATGGAATTAATTTAAATTGTAAGTTTGCTCCTTTTCTAAAAGCTGATTTTTTTTGTATATTCTTTATAAAATTAGCAAAATGGAAGTTAAACTACAGTTTTGTAGTGCCTTTTTAAAGTAAAACACACAACATACACACATTTGAAATGAGGCCAAATTTAGACTCTAGGGGCATAGTGTTCTGCACCTTAAATTACAATCAGATGTATTTTAGCACAGATCAAATTTTCAGTATGAGGTTGGTGAGAAGCCTAATTATTTGACCAGGTTACTATTTATGTAGACCGTTCTATGGCTGTCTGTGGTTAGTCCACAGCTGGGAGAAAGCTAGCTCTGGGAGGTTTTTATTTCATGCTGGAACAGTTTGGGGAGAAATAATGGTGGGGAAAGCTTTAAATTTTTCTCATTAAATGAAAGACTAAAAACAAGTACATATATATATTCTTATGCTCTTATGGAGACAATATGCTTTCTAAGCTGTTCATTTTAGTTCACCAAGTGACAGGAATAGGAAAGGAAGCAGCTTGGATGCTCATAGGTTGCAAGTTGACATGGTATTTAGTTAAAAAACACTTTAAATAATATTTCCTGAGACCAGGATTTGTTATCTTTCAGAACAGTTGAATATTGGTAAAGTATTAGTAGATTGAAATTTTTAAAGGAGAAAATATTGGTAACATGTTATTAATATTAATAATATTTTTATTAGAATTTCATTAGCAATGCTATAAAATAAAAATAGACATTGTGGTGTAAAATCTCTCTTAATAGCTTAGAATTTATAAGCCAGTAAACCCTTCGAAGATGGATCCTGATACACATGGCCCTGCCACAAAATTAATCTTTTTTTTCTTCTTCTTCTTTTCTTTCCATCCATATGAATGCTGCCCCTCTGGTGCCCCATGGCCAATTGCTCCAAGGGGTATATGTCAGTAGAGTAGGTGGGATTAATCTTGATTAATTAAGATTAAGACTAAGATTAAAATTAATCTTGAGCCTTTCTTGTAGTATTTAATGTTGAAATTTAAAAGTAATAGAAAAAACTTTTTTATTCTTTTTGTACGTTTAAAGTTTGTATGATAGGAGTGGTTAGTATCTCAGTTTTAAGTGAATATTTCAATAGCATTTTCCTAGTTCTTTTCTTCTTGTTCCCTCACTTCCTCTTATTCTTTGCTCTAATTATCCCACTCCCTGGCATTTGGCTTTTAACCAGAAAGTTAGCGGTTCAAAACCTCTAGCTGCTCCAGGGGAGAAACAAAATGCAATCTAATTCCATAAAGATTTACAGTCTTGGAAGCCAAATGGGGGTCGCTATGAGTTGGAATCGACTCGACAGCAGTGGGTTTTGGTTTCTTCCTTCTTTATTCTTCTATTTCTCCACTAGATCCTTTTCTCTGAAAGGTAAAACTGCTTGAAAATTCCTTATCCTAAAAACTAACCCTTTTCTCGTACTCTCCAAAAAAAAATAAAAAACACTACCCTTTCTTTCTCTATTTATATACCAACTAGGGGCACAGTCTTTGGAGTCATTTGAATCCAGGCTTCATCACATATAAGTCATATGACCTGGGGGACATTTCTTAACTTTTCTATCTTCCTTTCTTTATTTATGAAATAGGATTAGTATTAGTATCCGCCTCAAAGGCTTGAGATGAGAAAATAAACATAGTAAATAAGTTAATATAAGTAAAGCTTTTAGCACAGTGCTTGGCACACAAATGCCCTGTAAATTCCAGATTTTTTTTTTTATTGAGATACACTGATAAAACTCTTGAGGTAATTTATAGTTCTTACCCTTGCTTTCTCACCCTTTTTTCCCTAACAGTTGTCTATTTTTAACTTCATACGGAAGGTGTGTTGTCCTGGTCAATCACATTCTTTCTGCCCTTTCTTTCTCTACATCTCCACAGCATTGGGTACCTTCAAGCACCTTCCTGAAATTTCCCTATCACTTCTGCATTCCTTGTGCTTTCCTCTTATTCCCCCCTTTACTTTTTTTTCTTTCATCTGTCCCCTAATTTTGGTTCTTTTCCATTCTGGCCTTTTTCCAGTTTTTTTTTGTTTTTTTTTTCCCCAGAGTTCTGTTCCTTGGTAATTGTTCTGTTGTTATGTTGTTATGTGCTGTCAAGTCACTTCCTACGTATAGCGACCCTGTGTACAACAGAATGAGACATTGCCTGGTCCTGTACCATTCTCACAGTTGTTGATCATTGCAGCCACTATATCAGTCCATCAATTGAGGATCTTGCCTTTTTTTGCTGACCCTCTCAAGCATGATATCCTTCTTCAGGGATTGGTCCCTTCTGATGACATGACCCAGAGTATGAGAGACAGAGTCTGACTGTTCTCACTTCTAAGGAGCATTTTGGCTGTAATTCTCCCAAGACAGATATCTTCATTATTCTAGTGATCTGTGGTATATTCAGTATTCTTCAGCAACACCACAGTTCAGATGCATCAATTCTTCTGCATTCTTCCTTATCCATTTTTAAGCTCTCACAAGCATATGAGGCTTTTGGAATGACAACCCCTTTTATACCATCACCTTCTTCCATAGCCTTTCTTCTACCTATACTTCCTGATAGGTATTTATAGGTCCCTTAGCACTTCACCTATATTATGACCACAGTTGAACACTCTTTCTCTAACATCTGAGCCACCTCTTATTCTGGAATTTTTAATTTCTATTAATGGTAGAACCACATTCAAAATCTCTGTCATTTTTTGACCCTTTTCTTGAGTGCCTCCTACATCTTAAACAATTGCCAAATTCTATTTTTAATACTCCCAGTATGGTTTCCTTTACACAGCAAAATGCAGGCTTTTATTAACGATTGCGGAGTTGTTGCTGTCCAGGTTGTTTCCTCTAAGTTTTCCTATAGGCTTATTATTCCTTTCCCTTAAGGAAAACTTCATTATAGGTCATCTGTACCCACCTCCACTTATCCCACATTGCCTACCAAATAGACTCCTAACCTGTTATTCAAGGCTTTTTATATTCTTAACTCAGCTGGCCTTCCCAACTTTATCTTTTATTATTTCTTTTCATGTAGTCCTTCACTGGTGCACCATAAACCAATTTCCCATGACTTCACTTATACTTTCTTTGATTTAGAAAGGATAAATGTATTTTTTTAAAGTTAAAGCTGTATATAAGTAACATTTTAAAATACAGCTTTGCTGAAATGAAATTTTAATTAAAATTATATTTAAATTCAGAGTCTTCTTGGAAAATTCAGTTTAGATGTTTCGTAGCTAACAAGCTAATTTTGTAAACTGATTGTTTAAATATAATTTGATTTTTTAATGAATACCATGTCACAAGAATCCCAACTGTTTATAAGAAACTGGAAGAAATCAATATGACTTCGTTACTATTTCTCTAACTTGAATGTAGTAATTAGCTTGATGAGTCTTTCCAAGCATTTTTTCGTATTATGAAGTTGTTGTTGTTGTTATTGTTATGTGCCGTGGACTTGGACCCGACTCGTAACGACCCCTCCTTATGTTTCTGAGGCGGTATCACTACAGAAGTAGATTGCTCAACCTTCTTTCCGAGGAGTGGCTGGTGGGTTTGAACCTTCAGCCTTCTGGTTAGCAGTCAAGTGCCTTAGGCACTAAGCTACCAGAGCTCCTTATTACCAAGTATACAAATTTAATATGAAATAACTAGGAATTTATACACTGAGGTAATGTTATATATCAAGAATATAGTGCTCATATGATAAAGTTTTCTCCTAGTTATATGCTGCTATTTTCTTACATTTTGTAACAATTTTTTATAGGGTTTTATATTTTTGTAGGTTTCTTTTATTCTCACTGAATGTGACCATGTGGAGATGGGATTTCTAACACACACACCCCACCCTTTTTTTTCCTTTATCCAGGGCTTTTTTCTTACCGTTTCCCCAGAATCCATATTGAAAGTGGCTTGCCATGCTTCTGAAAAAAACAGAATTTTTGCTTTGAACCTGTCTGCACCATTTATTAGCCAATTCTACAAGGAACCACTGATGAAAGTTATGCCTTATGTTGACATACTTTTTGGAAATGAAACGGTGAGTTACCCTTAAAAAATAAATATTTCTGTTTTTGTTTGTTTGTTTCAGGTATGCCTATATATTTAGAATATATAAATTAAAATCTAAGTATTTGCATATATACATTTGAGAATTGTACAACAGAATGAACTCAATTCTAATTCAGTATTTCCTTCATTCAATATACCCTTATTTCTCATTTAGTAATAACTTGGGGTTTTGTTGAAGGTTAGGTCTACTGAGATAATTTACATATAGTAAAATTCACTCTTTTCCATATTTTTTTTGTGATTTTTTTTTTTTTTTTTCCATTTGCAAGGACAATGCTTTCAGTCTCTCTCCATTGAGAATGATGTTGCCTGTTGGTTTTGTATATATGGCCTTTATTATGTTAAGGAATAGTGAACTAATATAATATTTATCCGTCTGTGATTGATTTATTTCACTCAGCATAATGTCCTCCAATTTCAATCTGTGTTTCACAGACTACATTATTCTTTAGTGTTGTGTAGTATTCCATTGTGTTTATGTACCATAGTTTGGTTATCCATTCTTCTATTGATGGGCACTTAGATTGTTTCCATCTCTTTGCTGTTGTGAATATTGCTGCGATGAACATGGGTATGCATATATCTGTTCGTGTCCTGGTGCTCACTTCTTTAGTGAGATATATACTCAGTAATGGAATTGCTGAAACAAATGGTATTTCTATTTCCAGCTTTGTAAGGAATTGCCATACTGATTTCCACAGTGGCTGTATCATTTCACAGTCCCACCAGCAGTGTATGAGAGTCCCAATCTCTCCACATCCTCGCCAGCATTTGTTATTTTCTGCCTTGTTGAACTTTGCTATTAGTGCTGGCATGAGATACTGTCTCAGTGTTGTTTTGATTTGCATGTCTCTGTTGGCTAATGGAGGAGCTCTGGTAGCATAGTGCCTAAGGCACTTGACTGCTAACCAGAAGGCTGGCAGTTCAAACTCACTAGCCACTCCTCGGAAGGAAGGTTGGGCAATCTACTTCCATAGTGATACTACCTTGGCAACCCAAGGAGGGGTCGCTATGAGTCAGGTCCGACTCAATGGCACATAACTATAATAACAACATTGGCTAATGGTCACAAACATTTCTTCATGTGTTTGTGGGCCACCTGAATATCTTCTTTGTAAAGTGTCTGTCTATTCATGTCTTCTGCCCATTTTTTTAATTGGATTTTTTGTCTTTTTGATGTTGGAGTTTTCTATAAATTTTAGAGAAAAGTCCATTGTTAGGTATGACATTGCCAAATATTTTTTCCTAAATCTGAGGTTCTCTTTTTACTCTTTTGGAGAAGTCTCTTGAAGCTTGTAAAAATTTAATTTTTAGAAGGTCCAATTCATCTAGTTTATCTTCTGCTGCTTGTGCATTTTGGGTTATACTTGACAGTCTATTTATGCCATAAATCACGGCCTTACGTTTGCCCCTATTCATTGAGAAACTTTATAACTTAAGGTTTTACATTTAAGTCTTTGATCCATCTGGAGTTAGTTTTTGTATATGATGTGAGGTATGTATCTTGTTTCATTTTCGCGCAAATGGATATCCAGTTTTGCCAGCACCGTTTGTTAAAGAGACTGTCTCTTCCCCATTTAATGGATTTTGGCTCTTTGTCAAAGATCAGCTGACCATAGTTCGATGGATCTATTACTAGGTTATCAATTCTATTCCATGGGTCTAGGTGTCTGTCATTGTACCAGTATCAAACTGTTTTTACTACTGTGGCTGTATAGTAGGTTTTGAGATCCAAGAATATTAGACCTCCTACTTTGTTCTTCTTCAATAGTGCTTTGCTTATCTGAGATCTTTTTCCTGTCCATATAAAATTAGTGATTGGTTTTGCCATATTCTTAAAGAATGTTGATGGGTTCTGGATTGGGAGAGCATTGAATGTATAGATTGTTTTGGGTAGAGGACATACTTAACTGGCTCCCATTTGCAAGGACAATGCTTTCAGTCTCTCTCCACTGAGAATGATGTTGCCTGTTGGTTTTGTTTATATGCCCTTTATTATGTTGAGGAATTTCCCTTCTATTTCTATTTTTCTGAGAGTATCAGGAACCGGTGTTGGTTTTTATCAAATGCCTTTTTGTATCGATTGATATGATCATGTGGTGCTTTTCCTTTGTTTTACTTATGTGATGTATTATTGATTGTTTTTCTAATATTGAACCATCCTTGCATACCTGGTATGAACCCCACTTGGTCATGATGTGTTATTGTTTGATATGTTGTTGCAGTCTATTGATTAGGATTTTGTTAAAGATTTTTGCATCTATATTCATGAGGGATATTGGTCTGTAGTTTTCTTTTTTAGTGATATCTTTGCCTGGTTTGGGTATCGAGATTATGCTTGTTTTATAAAAGGAATTTGGGAGGATTCCATCCTTTTCTATGTTCTGGAATAGTTTGAGTAGAATCGGTGTCAGTTCTCTGAATGTTTGGTAGAATTCTCCATTGAAACTCTCTGGGCTAGGACTTTTTTTTTTTTTTAATTGTGATTTGGGTGAAGATTTACAGAGCAAATTCACTTTCCATACAGCCTTCACATACATTTTGTCTCATGACATCAACTACAGATTACCACAATGCAACAGCTCCCCTCTCACCTCCACCCCATAGTTACCTCTTCCCAGTGTCCATCCCTCCATGGGCTCCTGCCCCCTGAGCTGTCTCCCTGTGCATAAGCAGCCCTTCTTTCTCCCATGATTGTTCTCTCCAAGGAGTGTATCTATTTGAGGTAAATGTTCAACTCATATGCCTGTCTTCTGTTTGGCTGGAAACCACAGGTGTGGGTTCAATTCCAGATCTGAAGGGCAGCTAGAGGCCATAGTCTCAGTAGTTCCACCAGGCTCTATTGGACCAGCAAACCTGGTACCCCCCTTTTTTTCCTCCAAATGATTTTGAGTTTTGTTCCGCATCATTCTCCCTCTCTATCAAGTATCTCCTACATAGATCCCCTTCCAAGTGGATGACAGTGGTAGCCGGGCACCATCTAGTTCTTCTGATCTCATAGTCATATAGGCTGCGGATCAGATGGTGTACCAGTCACTAGGACTAATTGTTTCCATGAATTTTTGTTTTCTTCATCCTTCTTTGCTCTAGACGAGGAGAGACCCATTGTTGCATCTAGATGGCAGTTTGCTAGCTTTTAAGATCCCAGTCGCTACTAGCCAAGGTAGGAGGTGGAACAATGTTTTGTATAGTATGTTATACCAATTGAGCTTGATGTCCCCTGCGACTATAGTGGGCCAGGACTTTTTTTTGTTGTTGGTAATTTTGTTATGACCTGTTCAGTTTCTTCTTTTGATAACAAAAGTTCTGTTCAAATTTTCCACCTCAGTCTGTTAGTTTAGGTAAGTAGTATGTTTCTAGAATTTTTTCCATTTCTTCTAGATTTTCAAATTTGTTGGAGTACAGTTCCTTATAGTATCCTGATATAATCCTTTTTATTTTAGTTGGTTCTGTTGTGACATGACCCCATTCATTTCTTAGTTGTGTTGTTTGTATTCTCTCCCTTTGTATTCTTTTCCTTTGTTAAGTTTGCCAGTGGTTGGTTAATTTTATTAATCTTTTCAAAAAACCAACTTCTAGTCTTCATTTTTCTATTTTCTATTTTCTGTTTCATTTATTTCTGCTCAAATCTGTATTATTTCTTTTATCCTGGTGACCGTAGGCTCCGCCCCCCCCCCCAGCCCGCTCTAGTCCTCATTTTTGGAGATGTTGGACTGAGGTATTGATTTGGGTTCTTCTTTTTTGATGTGTGCATTTATTGCTATAAATTGCTATCTGATCACTGCTTTTGCTATGTCTCAAAGATTTTGGCATGTTGTGTTTTTGTCTCATTTGATTTGCGGAAATTTTTATTTAATTTTTTATTTATTCTATTGCCTAGTCATTTTTAAGGAGGGTGTTATTCACTTTCCATGTGTTTGCTCTTTTTCCACTGATCTTCCTATTGGTGATTTTTAATTTTATAGTATTATGATCTGAAAAGATGCATTGCGGTATTTCTTTGTTTCTAAATTTATTGAGGCTTACTTTGTGGCCTAACATATTCTATCCTGGACACTGTTCCATGTACACAGGAAAGGAATATGCATATTATGCTGTTATTGGGTGAAGTGCTCTGTAGATATCTGTAAGGTCAAATTGGCAGATTGTATTGTTTAGTTCATCTCCATCTGTGTTGAGTTTCTTTTCAGTTGTTCTATCTTTCATTGAAAGTGGTGCATTAAAGTCTCTTACTACAACTGTGGAATCATCTATCTTTTCAATTCTGTTCAAGTCTGATTTATGTATTTTGGGGCTCTTTCATTGGATGTGTCGTTAATTATTATGATTACATCCTCTTGTTCAATATACCCTTTAATCATTATGTAATGTCCTTCCTTGTCTCTTATGGTGATTTTTTCTTAAAGTCAGTTTTATCAGAAATTAATATTGCCACTCTTTTTTGATTGCCATTTGCTTGATATATCTTTTTCCAACCTTTGAGTTTTAGTCTGTTTTGTCTTTGTCTCTAAGGTGTATTTCTTGTAGACAGCATATTGATGGGTTATGTTTCCTCATCCAGTCTGTAATTCTCCATCTCCTGAGTGGTGCATTTACTGCATTTATTGACAAGCATTAATTTGTTGCTGTCGTTTTGTTGTGTTTTTTCATGGTGTTGCTGATTTCTTTGTTCCATATAATTTTCTGTGCTGAGTTCATTTTGTTTACGAATCATGTTATCATTTCCTTCATTGCTGTTATCTTAGTATTTGCTAAATATTTGTGCTTGTCCTCTTTTTCAGTTGGATGCAAAGGTTTATTATTGTTCTTGGAGGTTACCCTGTGATTTATAACTTCCCAAGTTTAGAACAGTAGACTCTATCTCACAGTTGTCTTTACTTCCTCACCATTTAGAACGTCTGTAACTATACTATTTTTTCCCTCTTTTTGGTTTGTAGTTGTCCTCATTTGCCAGTTGATATCTCTGGT